CAGCAGTAGCCCCGTTGCTCCTGTTGCAACCACCAACCCTCCGTGTGGGGTCTCTGCTTCAATGTTGGACAAGCAGCTTTTGGTTTCGCTGCTGGAGGAGCAGGTGGGGCTTTGCCCCCCTCCCGTGGCTGGTTTGTCTAAAGGATAAATTGACACCTAAGCGAGATGCTGATGCCGTTAGCACTGGCGAGCCAGGGCTTGGAGCATGCAGGAACTGCATCCTCAGCACATTCGCGGATGACTCTAAGCTCGAGGGAGAGGTAGATATGTTGGAGGGCAGGGGTAGGGTCCAGAGTGACCTAGGCAAATTGGACGATTGGGCCAAAATAAATCTGAGGACGTTCCACAAGGGCAAATGCAGAGTCCTTCCCTTGAGAGGGAAGAATCCCAAACATTGTTACAGGCTGGGGACCGACTGGCTAAGCAGCAGGTCGGCAGAAAAGGCCCTGGGGATTCTGGTGGATGAGAAGCTGGATATGAGTCAACAAGGCGCCCTTGTAGCCAAAAAGGCGAATGGCATATTGGGGGGCATTAGGAGGAGCATTGCCAGCAGATCCAGAGACGTGATTATTCCCCTTTATTCGGCTCTGGTGAGGCCACATCGGGAGTATTGTGTCCAATTCTGGGCCCCCCACTATAGAAGGGATGTGGACGCATTGGAGAGGGTCCAGAGGAGGGCGACCAAAATGATTAGGGGGCTGGAGCGCATGACCTATGAGGAGAGACTGAGAGATTTGGGTTTGTTTAGGCTGCAGAAGTGAAGAGTGAGGGGGGATTTGACAGCAGCCTTCAACTCCCTGAAGGGGGGTTCCAAAGAGGCTGGAGAGAGGCTGTTCTCAGTGGTGGCAGATGGCAGAAGAAGGAGCAATGGTCTCAAGTTGCAGTGGGGGAGGTCTAGGTTGGATATTAGGAAAAGCTATTTCCCTAGGAGGGTGGGGGAGCACTGGGACGGGTTCCCTAGGGAGGGGGTGGAATCTCCATCCCTAGAGGTTTTTAACTCTCAGCTTGACCAAGACCTGGTTGGGATGATTTAGTTGGGATTGGTCCTGCTTTGGGCAGGAGGCCTGGCTTCATGACTCCTGAGGTCTCTTCTAGCCCTGGGATTCTGGGATTCTCTGAATGGGTTGTGTGAGGACGGGGTACTGCAGCAAGAGCTCTCCTCTGCTCCCCTTCTCATCCGGGAGTGGGTTTCAGGGAATGAAGAGTAAATGGCTCGAGCAAGAAAATAATTGGAATGACATGATCCTAATGCTCCCTGTTTGGTGATCTCGGGGGCTAGGAACCTGTTGGCCTTGGAAAGGAAGCACTTGCATCTCTGAGTATGGCGAGGCTGGAACCAAAAGAGCTTTCCCTGGGTTCCCTTCTGTTCCAGTTTCCAGTCAGTAGTTGCTGCAGATTTGCACCAGGGGAACAGAGCAGAATCAGGCCCCAGTGCATCTACAGTGTCGCATGGGGTGAGCGCTCCCAGGTTGGAAAGGGCAGAGGAGGGTGCTGAAGTCTCCTTGTTCTTCTCTTGTTGCAGGTACAGCGTGTCCAAATACACATCCATCGCCCTGGTGTCAGTGGGGATCTTTGTCTGCACTTTCATGTCTGCCAAACAAGTGGTAAGGAATGCTTTTCAATTGTCGCTTTGGACTGACGGGAAGAAAGTACACTGCCCGTTTTTTGTCTGCTTCCCTGGGGATCGCCTTCCCTCCAAGACGCCTGATTTTTGCTGGCCTTTGCATTTTTCTTTTAGTTCTCGGTGCCTTTTATGGCAGGCTGCTTAGTTTTTGCCTTCCTTAGGGGCACGCACGCTGAACATCAAGTTGCTTTCAGCCTCAAAGGAAACAAAAGAATTGGGGGTTAATGTATTTAATGATTAGCTTTTGCGCTACCAATGTGTAGACACCGCCACTGCCAGTCTAAGCAATCTTAAAACTTCACTCTGGGCTTCCAGATCCAGTCACTTTTCAGACAAGAAATTCCAGGTCTGGCCTGAAACCAAGTGTGATTTTGGGGGAGGAGGGGTGTAAATTTGAGGATAAACAGGGTGGCAATTTTTTGTGAGCGAAGCGAGTGTGGTTTGGAGCTGGGGAGGATGCCCACAAATGGGTAACTTTTCTTCTTTGAGGTTTTTCCTTCTGGGTTTAGCATCAGAAGAGGTAAGGCTGGAAAATTGAAACTGACCATGGAGATCAGGCTTAGAGAGATGCAACTGTCTAGTCTCTTGGTTGAAAGCTGGTTTAATTTGGCCTAGTTATGGAGGGTCTTGAATATTGTGCAAGCCTACTAGAGACTTGTAGCGACAGGAATGCTTTGAGAAATGTTGCGTTTCACAAGCCTCTTCTAGGAAACAGGACGGCACTGCCTGTGTGGGGTTAAACTAGCTGGATGGGGGGAAAACACTTACGGATACAGGGTCAGAAAGGACTCCTGGGTCACGGAGACCAATCTCCTGTTGTCACTAACGACTGTGGTGGGGGGGGAAAGCTTATAAGACTCTCATGGAGCCCAGACTGTGCTGTTGGTGTAAGCTGCTCTCTTGCTCTTTCACCGACGGCTGCTTACACCAAGTGTGCGGTGTATGGGGCAGGATTCTGCAGGATCCTGGCAGATTTAAATGCAGATTTCAGGAGATTAAGGCATCACAGATGCATTAAACAGCTGAACTTCTAGACTAGACTAGTCGCAACAATCCGAGCTCACTTTAATAAGTGCACAGCAAATGCTGTGAGCAAGGCATGTGCCACAGAGCGCAGGGTGGGGCATCGGCGTATGCGCGTCCGGATCATTTTCAGTAGACACTGTCCTGAATAAGTCTGTTTTCCATCCTGCAAAAGGTGCTGTACGCCTGCGGGTCCTAGTACCTCCCCCTCTCTGAGCAGCGGGCCCCTCTTGCTTAGGAAGGCGACTCTACCGTGAGAGCTTTGCCTAGCGCTCTCCTTCTCTCACCCCCGTCCCGCTAAAATCGCCAAGGAAAGGACAGAAATGTTTGCAAATTGGAGACGCTTTTCCTGTCCGAGACTTGGGCTGGAACAGCATGTTACTGATTGTGAATATTGGTAACTGATTATATTTTCCAAATGCAACAAATAACCCCGAATACCAGCTTTGTCATAACACAGAGTCAGTCGAGGGTTAGGATAAAGGGAGGGGAAGCGATGTATCTTCAGCCCACATCACGGGCGGCGGGTAAAGGCCCAGCTGGGGAGGGCAAGCCAAGGCCCCGCCCCTTCTGCCTGGAGCCACACCCCTTTCCCCGAGAGCATGCCCCTTCGACAACCTCCCCCAGTGAAGCCCTGCCCAACCCCAGCTGGAAACCCTTCCCCGGCCCCCAGGGTGCTGCATGAGATGGCCCCAGCCTTCCCCGGCCCCCAAGGAGCTCCGGCATGGCCCTGGCCCCTTTCAGGGGGCTGGCCAGCGTAGGCAGTTTTGGGAAGGCAGTGACGTTCCTTGCCTACGTTACCCGCCGCCCCTGGCCCGCGTGTGACTTTGAAAGGGATGCTGGTTTTGTCTCTCCTCATAACCCAACCGTTCCGCTGAGGCGGGGGTGCGAGCAGTTTGCACCGGGTCTGCCGCGTACCGCCTTCAACCAGAGGGGCGACGTGCAGGTGCCCTCGATACTCTATTTACCTCGCTTTGGAGCGCAGTCCCTCCGCTATGGGGAGCAGAGCGAGCCACTTGGAAGCTGCCCCTCTCTCTCCGTGGTAACGAGCCGTCTCTTCTCCCCGCCTCCCCAGGCTTCTCAGTCCAGCTCCGGCGAAGAGGACGGACTCCACGTCTTCCTGTGGTGGCTGTTAGGTCTGTAAGTGCGTGACGCTCATTGGCGTGGCGGTTAGGTTGGCTGGAGTTTCTCTCACGGGGCAGAGAGCTGGGTGACGCCCGGCTCCAGGGACCGGTTGCGTTCCCGCTGTCGATTGAAGCAGCATCACGGTGCCCCCTCTCGCCCTGTTGACAGAGCCGATCCCACGGCAAAAGGCTGCTTCCAACCAGCTGGTCAAAGATAGGATCTAAAGTGCTCGTGTGAGGGGAGGGTTGGGGATGGGGGTGGGTTGCTCCTAAGTGAATTTGGGAGATTCATGTGAAATCGAGACGGGCGGAGTCTGATCTCTGTTAGACGGGGGCTGCTGAGGCTCTGGGCCGCCCTCTGTAGCGCTGACGCCCCATAGGAGAGAGATGTGGGAGAACAACCCAAGAACTGTTGGCTTCTAGAAATGCCACAGCCATCAGCGGGGGCGGGGGAGTAAAAGAACTGCTTAGGGGTCAAAGGACGGTCTCAGTCCTGGACGTGGCTCCATGGACGTCAGCAGGTTTACACCAGGGCTGTATTCGGCCCCTAGATGCGTGCTGACAGTATTGGCCCAATTCCTCCCTACAGCGGAGGGACCTTCTTGTCTGCAGCACCGGGGTGATGAACAGCGCCAAGAGGGAGCAGTTACCTGCGAGCGTGGGTGTAACCTGTGGGTGTGATGTAACACGAAGCCTCTTAGAAAACCGGCTCTTAAGAGTTGCCAGTCTTCACTTTCTGGCTGCTTTCAGGGGCTGCGGTTAATAGTAGAATTGGAAGGGACCTCGAGAGGTCATCAGGTCCAGTCCCCTGCCTCACGGCAGGACCAAGCACCGTCTAGACCAGCGTTTCCCAATTTTATTTGGCCACGGAACCCTTTTCAGCTTAAAAAAATTTCAAGGAACCCCTAGGGTTGCCAGGGTAAAATTTGTCAAGCAAATTTAGTTTAATCTATACGGCTCCCTTCTTGTGCAAATGAAGCATGGATTAGCATATTGCCAGGCATCATTTGCATAATTAATTAGGGGCCGTTTTTGTGCAAAAGCCTCTTCCTCATTTTTTCAGGAAGAATGGCTCTTACGCAAGGGGGTTTTTGCGCAAAAGCCTCTTGTGCAATAACGGCCCCATATTAATTATGCAAATAAAGCACAGCAATATGCTAAGATGAGCTTCATTTGCATAGGCTTTTGCGCAAGAAGGAAGCAGTATAGACGTAGCCTTTGTGAGGGGGAGGGGGAGTGCCTCGTTTTCGCGGAACCCTTACTTTCGCTTCACGGAACCTCGGGGTTCCGGGGAGCACCAATTGGGTAACAATGATCTAGACCGTCCCTGAGAGGTGTCTGTCCAATCTGCTCTGAAATATCTCCAGAAATGGGGATTCCACAACCTCCCTAGGCAACTTATTCCAGTGTTTGACCACCCTGACAGTTAGGAACCTTTTCCTAATGTCCAACCTCAACCTCCCTTGCTGCAGTTTAAGCCCATTGCTTCTTGTCCTATCCTCGGAGGCCAGGAGAACAATTTTTCTCCCTGTAACACCCTTTTCGATAATAGGAAACTGCCGTCATGTCCTCTCTCGGTCTTCTCTTTTCTACTCTAAACAAGCCCAATTCTTCCAGTTTTCCCTCACAGGTCAAGGTTTCTAGACCTTGAATCATTCTTGTTGCTCTTCTCAGGACTTTCTCCAGTTTCTCCACTTCTCTCTCAAAATGTGGTGCCGAGAACTGGACACAAGACTCCAGCTGAGGCCTAATTAGTGCAGAGCAGAGCGGAAGAATGACTCCTCGTGTCTTGCTCACGTATTGTCCCTAGTCTCTTTGTAAGTGGGGCGCTTACCCTGCAGGGGCCAGCTTCCGATTTTCAAAATCAGTCCGGGGGAGAGGGGAAAAAAAGCCGCTAAATCACTTTTGAAAATGGGCCTGAGGTGCTTACCTCCTCTTGACTTGCAAGGAGACCCAACGCCCAAGTCACATGGGTAAAATAGTCAACTGCCCCATGGCTGCCCCTCCACTCTCTCCTGGGCTTTCCCGTTCTCTTGCGTTTCAAGCCAAGCCTGGAGATCTGCCAGTGCTGATTGACTGGCAGTTTGTGAAGTCCTGGGGCTGGACCGTAAGGCTGCTTTTGTGTTACAGGTATCGCAGCCCTGACCTTCGCCCTCCTTATGTCGGCCAGAATGGGGATCTTCCAAGAGACCCTCTACAAGCAGTTTGGGAAGCATTCCAAGGAGGCGCTGTTCTACAATGTAAGTGGCCCTTGGCTTTACCTCCGGCCACCCGCTTCTGAATAAACATGTCGTCAGGGCCGTGACAAGGGTGGGGCAAGCGGGGTGTCCGCCAAGATGCAAGAAGTAAAAACAATAAGCTGGAAAAGTGAAGTGCGCGACACAGGCTCCCCTAAGAAGAGGGGGCGCAGAATTCCAATTTGCCTCCGGACGCAAAACATGCCTAGTTACGGCGCTGCATGTCATGCAGCTTTCCAGCCTGCTCTGTGGGGTAGAAACACTGACCAGGGTGGGAACAGTTTTAGAGAAAATGCAGAACGTTAGATGCTTGGTCAGAGCCATGCGGGTCATCCCTAGACAATGTCTTGTAGTCCAGTGGCTCCAAGTCTCCTTGAGCATACGGTGTCCTTTTCAATCTCTTAAAATGTTATGGACCCCTCACATCCCTCAGCCGCGCTCCTTCCCGGGTTGAAGGATGTGCTGGCTGCGAGAGGCTCCCTGCGGATCCCCTACAGTATCGACGGGGGACCCCCAGGGGTCCGCGGACCACAGGTTGGGAACTGCTGTTGTAGGGGATAATCCTACATTTTATAATAGGTCTCTTCCGAGCTCTACGTCCTGTGATGCAGGGATGTAAATACCCCTTCAAGAAGTTACCCGGTTAAGCTGGGGTGGGGAACCTTTTTTTGGGTTGGGGGCCGCTGTCCCACAGAAAAGTCAGTCGGGGGCCGCTCACAAGTGGGAAGCAAAAAAACCTAACTGATGTAGCCCCCGACTGAGTAGGAGAAAGATACTTCCCACATTCCCTTCGCACACCAGAGCGCGGGGCGTGGGGGGGCAGGGAGGTAGATTTTGTGTGCCCCAGTGCTGCAGCGGGGACAGCAGGGACTGGATCACCTTTGTGGGCTCTGCCAATGGCGGGGGGCTGGGGCCTGGCAAACCTGGGGCCGAATCCGGCCCCTCGGCCTTAGGTTCCTCGCTGCGTTAAACGATATAATTTTAATCGGTTAACTGGGGGCCAGACAGCCTGCCACAGTGGGAGAGGCTGGTGGCCCAGCATCAAGTAACCCTAACTGGGTAGCCTTTTACATCCCAGCTATGATGCCAGATTTGCTGTACTGCAGGGGGTAGGGGAAATGAGGCCTACAGGGACCAAACACTGTCCCCAAACCTCTCCCTCAGATGTTTGCCCTTTAGAACAGGAAGGCTGGGTCAAGGGATGCATGTCATCCTGCCGAGAGTGACTGGTGGGTTTTGTCGCGGGATAGGAGGGATGGATCAGCTGTACATGAGCTGGTGTTTAAGTCTCGGCTTGACAAAGCCCTGGCCGGGTTGATTGAGTTGGGATTGGTCCTGCCTAGAGCAGGGGGCTGGACTTGACCTTCTGAGGTCTCTTCCAGCTCTGTGAGTCTATGATTCAGCTTGTACAAGGGCCACCATTAACGCTAATGCATTTAGCTTATACAAGGGCCACCATTAACGCTAATGCATTTTTCCTTTGAGTGGTTGAAATGCACTGATGTGACGTCTCCGCAGGGTGCCGTTTTAAACTGCTGCGTTGACTTTCTCTCTCTTGCTACAGCACGCTCTGCCTCTCCCTGGCTTCCTCCTCCTCGCCCCGGACATCTACGCCCATGCTGTTCTCTTCAGCCAGTCTGGTGAGTTTTCTTTGGGCAAGTCGCTGCTCAGATGGATCTAAGCAATGACAGTGAATGGCTCTAGAGAATGCTTTAACCCAGCAAAGTCCTGCCATGCAGGAACCTCTGGGTGAGTTTTCTGGGTGGTGGTTATGCAGGTCGGCCTAAGCGATGACAGTGAATGACTCTAGAGAATGCTTTAACCCAGCAAAGGAAATAGAAACTCGTTGTCTAAGTTCCCAGCCCTGCTAATACATCCGTGTTTAACTCTTAGCAGTGGTCCTGTCTAAATCAGTGGGTACGTTGGTGTGCGTAAAGTTACCCGCACAAGTGAAACCTCAAACGCTGGTGAATTATTAAATAAACCCCACCTCTCATCACAGAACCCCAGTGTTTTCTGACAGCCAGAACCTTTTCATAGAATCCCAGGGCTAGAAGAGACCCCAGGAGTCAGCAAGTCCAGCCCCCTGCCCTAAGCAAGACCAACCCCAACTCAATCGTCCCAGCCAGAGCTTGGTCAAGCCGGGACTTAAACACCTCTAGGGATGGAGATTCCATCATCTCCCTAGGGAACCCATCCCAGTGCTTGTTTTGTTAACAGGCTCCCCTGTAGTGTCCAGTTCCTCTTCCCTAGTCAGTAACAGCCATTTTAAAATAAAAATGTTGATACTTGAGGGGAAGCGGGGCTGTTCTTCCTCCCCATTCGGAAAATCAAGGGGTAACCGGTTTCATGACTGCAGTCGCACACGGGAAACCTCGGCACGGGGCGGGGGGTGAGCACAGCGGGAAGGGACGGGCCAGATTCTCTGGTTGGCGTAGCTCTGAAACGGGAACCAGTGAAGCGGCGGTGAGTGCGTCTGAGTGGACGCGCTGGGCGAGAACACCAGAACCGTCTTCAGGCAGCTTTTTGAGGCAAGCGTCTCCAGTCGGGGATGGCCAGCCCAGGGCAGCCTGCGTGACGTTTCCTTCCCGCCCCGCTAAGCGCTCAGAAGCCTGGGCAAGCCGCAATTCGGATTGATACGGGCTGAGAGTTCAGCTTTGCCCAGCCGGGGGGGGGAATGCACAGACAGTGGTAGACCGAAGTGCCATCTCCTAGGGCTGGAACACCTACAAGGGGGAAAAATAGGAGGGTCAGTGCCTCCCCCTTCCCCACCAGGATCTCCTGCCCACCAGCTCCAATCCAGCACCTCTGTTCCACAGCATCCCGGGAGGTGCTGGGGAGCAAGGGGGAGGAGCTAGGCGAGGAAGCGGTGGAGTGGGGGCGGAGCCTGGGGCGGAGCCAGAGTCGAGCACCCCCAGCAGCTGAATAAGTGGGTGCCTATGGCAGCAGACTCTGGGGTTGTGAGATCTCTGTCCAGCCCGAACAGGTTACCGCTCTGGGTCAGATCCGGGGCCTTTCCAGAGCCGGTGGCCTCCAGGGCTGTGGCGTACGTCTCCCTCGCACAGGCAGCCACAGGGCAAGCCCCCTCTGCCAGGCTCTCTGAGGGAGACGCTG